AAAAAAAATAAAATAAAAAAATAAACAAATGAATGAATGAATAGCTAGTGCTGTTCTCTTTGATGATGTCCAAAATGTCATCTGCTCCTCCAGCCTTCTTCATCTCCAGGGTCGTACACTTCATTCAAAGTGCACGCAGGGGCCACCACACACAAGTGTTTCTAGCACACCGCCGAACACAATTTACTATCCTTAATTGCTTGTACACGGCGCTGTATGGGACCAGGAGGCCAGCACTGAGCCCAGTACTCGGCACACTAAATTCTTCCTACTGGACAGGCACAGTACTTTTCCTTCCGTTGGCTGGTGCCAGTAAACCCATCTGGGCAGCCCGAGATTGCAGTCTTTTGCCAGCTGCACCAGACTGTTGGCCCAGACTTTGTGTGCAGTGTCTGAAAACTCTTAAATCCTTGCATTTCAGCCATTTTAAAAAGTAGGTTTCTGAATTCTGTTACTGACACAGAATTTTCAGTAGCGGGGGACTCGATTTTACCTGATGTATTCAGCACCCTGTCAAGATCTTGTTAAATCTTTATTCCATCACCCACTTTAGTATGGGGCCTTCCCACTTGAGTCATCAGCAGATTAGTAAGCTTCCCATTTAATTGTCATCTAACTTAATGAACCTGATGGGGCCAGAGCATCAGAGATTACTTCCGAGCTGGTGTCTGATAATCCGTAAACACTAAAGTTTGTTTAAAACTGTTTAACCCCCAGGGAATTTACAGTACATCATGGAGCAGTGCCCAAAGGGCAATGTCTCTCTCTTTGGGGTGGGCTAGGAGCTGAGTTTCCTGGGAAGATTCCTCTTCACCCTTCAGCTCCTCTCATCCAGTGCCAACTCTTCCCTGGACTTCCTGCAAAGTCACCTTGTTTGGGGACACAGGCAGTTGGAAGACAACCCTTTCTCAAAATTGTATGGGATTTTGCAGATTGCTGGAAGCACTGCTTTCGTTCCTCGACTTCTCAGACAAGAAGGCCAGTACCGCCATCGGATTGCTCACAGACTTGGCCCTGGAAGAAAGGTAAAGCTTTTTACTTCTAGAAATTGACAGCTCTTCCACCTATGTTAAACTGTCTGATTTTTAAAAACTGTGCAGTATGCAGAGAAGCTAGGCCAGGTCTGTGACTACACAGCGCAGCACTCAGAGCAGGAGGGCTGGTGCCTGCAGAAGGCTGCGATCATCCACTTCTGTCTTGGACCCTCCTAGTGGAGGGTGACCCTGTGCTCATGGAGCCCTGGGCAGTGACATACAGCTGGCTCTCTGTATCTATGGCCTCATCTACATATTCAATCAGCCACAGCTCAGAAACATAGGAAAAAGATGTATCTATATTGAACATATACAGACTTTTATTTCTCGTCCTTCCCTAAATAGTACATGTGTGAACTGCTGTGCTTACATGGTATAGGAACATTAAGTAATCAAAAGATTAGATATAATTTGAAGTGTACAAATACAAGTGCTATGGTGTGGTATCTAAGGAAACTGAGCCTCCAGAGCTTTGTGAATCTGGAGGTTCCGGGAAGCAATCTCTAACAGATACTGAGTACTCACTACTTAAAACAGTGCCCTTGGTAATCAGCACACCTACTATGTGTCAGGAAAACTTGCTCTTATCAGTGCCTAGCAAATTTTTGGTGAATAAGCAAATGAGAATGAGCAGTGAAATGTAGCCTTGGGCTGCCAGGGGCGTGATGGGGTGCCTCTCTGCCCACCCTGCTTTCTGTATTTTAGTTTTACTTGGCTGCTGGGGAAGATAGCAAAGGCCTGAGATTTTTATAATTCTTTAGATTTTTAAAAAATCATATCTTTTTTAGAAGATTCTGTATGAACTTTAAAGATCTTGGCTAGCAATGGTTATGTAATGGAGAACAGCTTGTGCTCTGAGACAGGCAGCCCGCTGGCACAGGCAGGAGGTGCGGGCTGCTGCCCTACTATGTGCAGGTGTGTGTGCATCTGGATCCTCGCACAGCTCACACAAGAGGTGTAAGCTCAGCAGGGGAGAAGGGTGCAGAGTCATCTCTGACGTGGATTGGGGATTTCAGCAACTTCTGCTTAAGACAGCTGCCAGCTGAGATCTGTCACTTAACATTAACGACAGATTTCTGGACTCGGAAAACTTAAAGCCTTAGTATATGCATGAGATGAGAGGAAGGTCAGGATGAACTACTCATGCCTACCATAAGTCACACAGGTGCAGCTTATCACTGTTTGCTACATTACCCAAGATATTATGTCACCGCTCATACCGTGTAAAAATAATCCTGGCTGATATTTTCTTGACAGATTCCAAGTCTGGTTCCGGGCCAACCTTCCAGGTGTTCTCCCTGCGCTCACGGGTGTACTGGTGAGCAAATCTTCATTCCTGTCCTCCATGGCAGGCATGCGGGGAGCGAGGGCAGAGGTGCTTAACCATGGTTTCCACCACTGAACCCTCACTGCCTGTCAGGGTGATTAGTCACTTATTCTCAGGTGGGATTTACATGATTCTCAGTTATTGATACTGCCGCAGGGAGGACAGGAGGAGGTGGCACATGAACAGGGATGGTTACAGGGACAAACACTGTGCGTGAACTGTTCTTAGGTGAAAGGAAGAGAGTTCGTCATTCTCCATCAGTCCAATCTGGGTACAAAATCTTCTCATCTCTTTCAGGAGGACAAGTATAGCAGCTCTTGTTGATGAGACAGAGGACAATAAGGATTGTTTAGGAGACTGTGCTAGGCCCATGAGCCTTAGACATTTCAGAGGCACTTAGGGAGATAACTACACCCCAACATTTCGTCACTGTGAAAATAGGGTCTCTTAGAAGGGAAGGGACTTAACCCAGGCCTCCCAGCTAGTTGTTGTAGAGCCCAGCCCCTTTGGGGTCTACTCCATTGTGCTTCTGTCCTCTTGCCGGGGGACCCCAGGGATGTCTCCAAGTGATATTGATAAAAATCATTGGTTCCCAGCCTTTTGATGAGTGAGGACCACTCGGAGATTGCTCTGCTGTCTGAGGCTTAGCTTTCTTTTCATTCACTGTAGAAGAGAGATCCCGTAGTAACCAACTCCTCAGCACTCTGCAAGTGCATCGCCATCATGGGAAGCCTCAGCGCTGAGGCTGCTGCTCGGAGACACATGTCAGCCTGTGAAGAATTTGGGGATGCCTGCTTGGGCCTGCTGGTATTTTTAGATTTTCTATTAAGTTTTTGTCTTTCATACCTTTTGGGGGCATCCACTTATTAATTATCTGGCTTTTCCAAAAATTCTGCTTCTTACAGGGCTTTAAGCCAATGGCTTATCCATTTTGTAATCATAGATTTTGTTGGGCTTCAGGCCTTAAGGGATCCTCTAGACCAAATCTTTCCTATCTGAGAGAATTCATGGGATTTCCTCATGGAGCCACCTTGATCATCCATGCCAGCAGCTGACCTGGGGCTGAGAAGAGGCAGAGAGCCTGGGCACAGATCCCAGAGACTCCTTTTCTGTCCCCTAGATGAACAGTAGCTCATAGAACTTGTCTGTGCACTTTCACCATCACTGAAGTCCATGACACTGAAAATTTAGGGAACGCAGCTACCTCTGCAGTCCTGGTCCAAGGACAAAGATGGCCGTGAAAGTTGCAAGACACCAGGGTCATTGATTACCTTGTTTTGTTTCCAAGGCCAAGTGCGAGGATGACATGGATCTATGCAGGGAGGTCACATACACACTCCTAGGACTCATGATGAACCTTTGTCTTCAGGTCCCCTTTGCCTCAGAGGTATGGGCACTCTCGTCTCCCTCCCTGGAACAACCAGAATACTTCCTGTTGTATAGAACTGTATACAGCCTGTTGACTTGGGCACCAGCAGAGGAGATGGGAAGGGTGGGAGGGACACTCTGTGGGTTCTCTCTGGTGAGAATGAGATGGATCAGTTGTGTATTACTTCAGAAAGCTGCCTGCATGTCCAGCTGTATGCTGAACATAGCACCAGGAGCTGACTTTACAAAGTCAAATAAAATACAGCCTGTGTTGTGGAAGTGTTGCCAGTTAGGGCAGTTAAAGATAGAGCCAAATAGGAGCAATAAAGGAAGGTGTGGAAGAAATCTGGATGGAATGCAGCGAGAGCGAGTGGGCAGCTCTGTTTGGTTGCTCAGAGGAAGCTTCACAGAGGATTTCAGTCACAGGAACTAAGCGCTCTTTCTCCTTTTTCCTGGTGGTTGCAGGTTTGGGCTATGGAGCTGAGCAGAAGGTGCCTGACTTTACTAGACAGCCAGGATGGGGGCATCCTAACAGTGAGTATCTCAGGGAAGTCCAGGACCAGCATCCTTTTTTCTGTTCTGGTTTTATTTTCCTGTGGGTGGGTTTTAACCTTCTAGCAGTCCCTACCTTTGATAATCTGCTGACTCTCTGAGGCACAATGTGGATATGCCTCAGAATAATGCCCACAGCACACAATCAGATTTTGCTTACAGTTTGGGGGATTTGGTGACATCTCCCCTAAGCCTATCTGTGGACTCCATAGAGTTCAGAAGCCCAACTTTGGAATCTCCTTTCTGTGTTGCCTGGAAGCTGACCAGCAGATGCAGTATAATCCACCTGATTTGTCTCATTCCAAGAGACTCTGTGTAGATGGAACATGACGGAAGACTGCACCTAATATTCCTTTAGTCTATCATCAAAAGAGCAAAGATCATGTTTTAAAGCCAGGAGTCTTGAAGGTGGTTTGTACATTCAAGTTTGAGCACCTTTGGAGAACATGCAGGAATGAGTTTCTTCATTCTGCTTCTGGGGTTAAAGCAAACTTTGAAAAACAAAAGCCAGCAAATTCATAGAAGAAAACTTTTGCTGTGTAAGAAAACTTTAGCATCAAGAGATGAGCAATAATATGATTTAGGAGGCTTTATGCCATCCTCCTGAGGTGTGTCTTCTTCACTCACAGTACTAATCACCTGCTTTTCTACCTCTCAGGACAGAGCCTAAAATCTATAGGAACAGTCAAGGTCACATCCAATCTAGCATACTTCGTTTAGGGCGAGCATTCCCAAACAACACTGTGGGCGAAGACTGTAACCCAAGCTCCAGGAAGTGTGATAGGTCTTAAGGTTTCCCTTCCACCCCGTGTGATTGTGCCACAAGTTCTGCGTGTATGTTCGTTTCTATGACGGAGGCATCATTGCTTTCATCGGATCCCTAGAAGATGCCTGTGCCCTTCGTCATGGCAAGCACCACTGTTTTCAGGGGTGGGGGGCTCCTTGGGGTAACGCAGACCTAAAGCTGGGTCTGCAGCACAGCGGGGACACTCTTGGGCCACATGACCATGTGTGCTCCTGCTGGGTGCTGCCTATCCTGCTGAGCAGAGCAGCAATCCACTACAGGGACCAGGGACTTGGGTCAGACCACCATCTTGGGCCTGAACAGGGCAGTATAGTGACCACTGTAGCAGGATTGTAAGGTGTGTATGAAGCTGGTTAGGGCAATAAGAGTGTTAATACGATAATGCACAGGTTTTTCCCTTATCCTTCTAGAAACCTCAACCCAATGAAATGAAAGGCATTGAGAGAAGAAAAATAAAAAATGATTCACATCAACAAAGTGCACAGGCAAGAAGTCCCTTGGTGGATCAGTAGTTCTGATGCATCTCTAGGAGGTGGAGAACGACTACAAGAGTGGCAGTGAGACAGGGCTGATGAGGCCTCATGCAGAGCACAGAGGGGACTCGGCTGGGAGGCGGGAGTTTGCTTTGTAGCGCACTGGAGAGGGTTGACGCTTCACAAGCATGGGGACCACAGAGAATGCAAAGACGAGGCAGGGGGTGCATTTGACGATCTGCCTCCAAGCATGACATCAGCATTTTTTTCTTTTTCTCTTCTCTTTTTTTCTCTTCTTTTTCTTTATTTAGAACTATGACCAAAAGTGTAGGAAATGCTGCATACGCACATCAAAAGACCAGAGGGAAAACACTTTGCTGTCTAGAATTGTACCTCTCTGCCTGCCACTTAAAAACAATCTTCTCATAAGTATCGCATGCCCAGTACATCTTTCTTGCCTTTTTCTTACATGATTGGACAGGTAAGGGTTACAAGACATTTCAGGAAACTCACACACATAAGTGGAAAAACTCAGAGAAAGGGAGGACAAAAATGGCAGCATAGATGCTGGCAAAGAAATCGCAGGTTGTCTGGAACCCGAAATTGAGGCATGTGGAAAGCAATTGCAAAGGAGAGGAGGAGAAAGCAAGGAAGAAGAGGGAGCACAGGGTGCAAGAAAGGACCAACAGGAGGGCTAAAAACCGTGGGGCAATGCCACAAAGGAAGATTCTCAGGAGAACCAATTAGAAATTCTGGAAATGTAAAGCACAATAGCAAATCAAAGATTCAGTGGATGTGGAGTGACAGAAAGAGGGTAATGATCTCTTTCACCAAAATAAAGATGTGTCTGAATATTTTTAAGATTCAGCAGAAAGACTCACCAATGTATGTAACCATACAGAAAGGCAAAATTGTAGGAGATAAAGATGAAGATAAAGATGAGAAATTAGTATGCATAAACTAATAAGATAATAAACTGCCAACCAAACATATAAATACCGTGAGAAATAAAAGACCAAACTTTAAAAAATTTTGTTGTGGAAGAGAGTGCTGGAGTACAAAATAATAGTATAAAAAAGGTTATTTAATGTAATAGCAGAAAATAGCCAAATCTTAGAAGAGACATAGACATACAGGTACTGGTGCCAGTTAGAACCCCAAACAGGCACAACCAGAAAGGAACCTCCCCATATAACAGTATAGCTTAAATATGAAGAGTACAAAATAAAGGACTGACCAAATAGTTCAGCAGGTTAAAATGCCTACAAGTAGGCACAGGGGCTGGGGGTTCAATCCCTGGGCCTGCCATGCCGGCCCTGCTCCCAGGGCATGCTGAGAGGGAGATTGAGACTGGGCGTGGTGGAGTGCCCATGAAATCCCAGCTCTTGGGAGGCTGTAAACAAGTGGATCACTACAAGTCTGATCTAGTAGTAAGACCCTGAACACCCTGTAGACCCTTCCCTAAAATAAAAATGAAAGTACAAAATAAGGAAAGACTACTGACATTTGTAAGAGAAAACACCAAGTCACTGATAGAGGTAAACCCATATGAGTAACTTCACATATTTCTAGAGAAACTCTAAAGGCCAGAAAAACACAGAAAGATATATATAGTTTAAACCCTGAAAGAAAATACCTGACAACCTAGATTACTATGTTTAGCAAAGTTATTCTTCAAAATTGAAGGAGCAATAAAGGTCTTACAAAATTAGCATGCACTAAAGAAGTTCAGTATTGCAGAAGGCACTTGGAAGAATCCTACACACATGAGGAAGAGATCAGCTATTAAAAATTTTGAAATAATAAAACATTAGAAAAACAAAAGTGACAGGAACTAGTGCATTGCTTTTTATAATAACTGTAAGTGGTCTTGATTCTCCATTCAAAAGGCACAGACCAGCAGATGGGATTAAAGTCAAGATCCAGCCAGGCATGGTGGCTTGCATTTGTAATTTCAGCACTTCTGGAGCCTTTAGTGGAAGGACTGCAAGTCTGAACCAAACCTTGGCCACCAAATGGTTTAGTGAGACCCTGTTTGAAAATAGGATGTGGGAGGCTGTGGACCTAAATCTTTGAGAAGGCCATGTGTTCAGTGCCCAGAACTACAACAGATAAAAATAAGGCCCAATTCTTTCCTTCTTGGAAGAAAACAACTCACTAGCAAAGACCTGAGAATGAAATCTGGCAGATCTGGCAACACAGACTTCCAGACAAAATCTGTCAGATAAAGTAAAGAAGTTCAGGATATATTGGTAAAGGATAAAATCCACCAAGAAGACATAAAAATTATAAATACTTATCAAACCAGTGTACTGGTTCATAAAACACTACTACAAGGAGACACGTAGGCCCCAGTACAATAACAGTGGCAGTTTAAGTATTCTAGTCTCACCAATAGGTAAGTCATTCAAATCAAAAAAGATCAACAAAGAAACATTAGGGTTAAGTTACATGATAGGTAAAATTGACTTAACAGATGTCCACAGAACTTTTCATCCAATACAGCATATATATTCTCAACAACTCACAGAACATTCTCCAAATGGGCCCTTAGAAAGCAAACCTTAACAAATGCAGAAATATTGAAGTAACTTCTTGCTGCTCTTCAGATCAGAATGGTATGACGTCAGAACTCAGTAGCAAGAGAAAACATGGAAAGTATGGAAATGGAACAGGTCCCTTTTGAATGATCAGTGGGTCACTGAAGAAATCAGGCAAGAAATTTAAAAATTCTGGGCTGGTGAGATGGCTCAGTGGTCTAACGCACCTACTCAGAATAAGCTTAGCAAAGCACAGGGACCGCGGTTCAATCCCCCAGCACCACATGCCAGCCAGCCCCGCCCCCTGGTGGGCTGAGCTGGCCACACACAAATAAATAAATAAATAAATAAAACTTAAAAAAAAAAAAAGAATGTATCAATAAAAAAAATAAATAAAAAAAAGAAATTTAAAAATTCTTAGGGTCAAATGAAAATGAAAATACAACATACTAGAATCTTTGGGATTCTGTAAAGACAGTTCTAAGAGGAAAACTTATAGCTCTGAATGCCTCCACCAGAACATCAGGGAGATCTCAAGGAACCTAATTATATATCTCCAAGCCTTAGAGAAACAAAAACAAGTCCCAGCCAAGTCCAACAGGAAAAAAAATAAAGGAATAAGATCGAAAATGAATAACATGAAGGCCAACAGACCAATAAAGCATTGGTTTCTTGAAAAGATAAACAGAATCCCTAAACTGATAGACAAGTTAACCAAAAGAAAGAGAAGACCCAAATCAATACAATTGGAGATGAATAAGGACCTGTTACAACAGACATGCTTTAATTTGTTTCATCTCCTTTTTTCAATTGTTAGCACTTTTTCTCTTCTTAATTTTTTATACTTTTTTTCTTCCAATTTTACATGTATATATCTGGTAATATAAATAACTGCTTGGAAGACAAAACTATGTATTTGCAACAAATACTGTGGAATTCGTATTACTTTTTTAAGTGAAAATCTATATCACTTGTAATTTTTTCTGTTTCAATTCTAATTTGTACTCTCTTTAAATTTTTTTAAAAGAGATACTAAATCTAGAGGATTATTAGGAACTACTTTGAAAACCTGTATTATTAATTGGATAATTTAGAAGAAATGTATAAAATTCTAAACGCATATAATTTATCAAAACTAAACCAAGAAGATAGAGAAAACCTAAATAGAATGAGAAGCAATGAGATAGAAGCAATAATAAAAAAGTCTTCCAACAAAGAAAAGCCTAAGATCAGATGAGCTCACAGCTGAATTTTGCCAGACCTTTAAAGAAAGTTAGCACTGTAGCTCCTCAAACTATTCCATGAACTAGAAAGGGAACGAATACTTCCGACCTCCTCCTATGAAGCCAAAATCACTTTGATACCAGAACTGGATGAGGACACAACAACAACAAAAAAAGAAAACCATGGACCAATATCCTTGGTAAACACAGATGCAGAAATCCTTACCAAAACCAAAACCAAATCCAGCAATACATTAAAAAGATCATACACCACAATCAAGCTAATTTCATTTTAGGGATACATGAATGTTTTAACATATGCAAGTCAATAAGTATAATATACCACATATCTACACAAGGTATGTAGATTGAACCCAAGACAAATATTCATTATAAATAGCCAAGGTAAAAATCACATGATCTCAGTTAATGCGAAGAAGACTTCAATAAAATGTAAAACCTCGTTGTGTTAAAAAGCCCGAAGAAACTGGGATAAATCTTCAGTATAGTAAAGACCATATAAACAAAACCACAACAACATCACACTGAATAAGGCAAAACTGAAAGCATTTCCTCTCAAATCAGGAACAAAACAGGATGTCCACTTTCATCACTCTTATTCAATATAGGTCTTGAACTTTTAACAAGAACAATTAGGCAAGAGAAAATAATGAAAGGAATACTAATAAGAAAGAAAAAATTATCCTTATTTGCAGATGATACTATTCAGTAGTTAGAAGATGCTAAAGACTATCCAAAATTGTTTGAGCTGATAAATGAATTTAGCAGTGTAGCAGGATATAAAATCAGTGTTAACAAGCCAGCAGCTTTACAATATACCAGTAATTGACTAGCTAAGAAAGACATCTAAAAATAAATTAATTTAAAATAGCTTCAATGAAAATAAAATACCTAGGGATAAACATAACTAAGGAGAGGAAAGAATTCTGCAATGAAAATTTCAGAAAACTGAAGAAACAAACTGAGGAGGACACCAGAAAATGAAGAACTCTTCCATGTTCTTGGGCTGACAGAATATTGTCAAAATGGCCATATTATCAAAATTATTTTTTCTCTTTCCCATCTTGCAAGATAGCAGTCAAAAAAACCTGAGAAGCCAGACACTAAAGAGAAGAAACCTGAAGTCAATAAGACTGATCTCAATGGTACTAGTAAAAAGGGTAAGGTGAAGGCAAAAATGTCCAAGAAGTGGCAGCCCCACTGCAGCCGAAATCCTGTCCTGGTTAGAGGAATTGGTAGATACTCCCAATCTGTTATGTATTCCAGAAAAACATCATATAAAGAAAATACACAGCTGCTAAATCAAAAGTTAAGAAGAAAAATAATGAACAAGTTCTTGCTACAATCACAAAACCAGTCAGTGGGGACAAGAATGGTGGTACTCGTGTGGTTAAGCTTCGGAAAATGCCTAGTTGGTACCCTACTGAAGGTGTATCCTGAAAGCTCTTGAGCCATGGATAGAAACCCTTTAGCATCACTCCCGGCACCATCTTGATCATCCTCACTGGGTGTCACAAGGCAAGAGTGGTCTTCCTGAAGCAGTTGGCCAGTGGCTTGCTACTTGTGACTGGACCTCTTAGTTTTAATCATATTCCTCTATGAAGAACACACCAGAAATTTGTCATTGCCACCTCTACAAAAATTTATAGCAGCAAAATGAAAATCCCCAAACACCTCACTGATGCTTACTTTAAAAAGAAGCAGCTGCGGAAACCCAGACACCAGGAAGGCGAGATCTTTGACACCAAGAAAGAAATACCAGATTTCAGAGCAGCACAAGGTGGATCAAAAAGCAGTGGACTCACAGATTTTAGCAAAAATCAAAGCTGTTCCCCAGCTCTAGGGCTACCTGCAATCCATTTTTGCTCTGACAAATGGAATTTACCCTCATAAATTGGTGTTCTAAATTTCTTACTAAGAACCTAATTAAATAACTGATAGATATTTTTTAAAATGATCTTTAGATTCTATGCAGTACATATCAAAATACCAGTGGCATCTGTGACAGTGCTAGAAGAAACAAGCCAAAATTTCATGTGGAAACAAACAAACAAAAGAGTTACCAAAGCACTCCTAAGTAAAAAGAGCGATACATGATCCCAAATTATATCACAAAGCTACAGTAACACAAAAAGCATGGCTACTAGCACAAAAATGGACACATAGACCAATAAAACATAATAGAGAACAGAACCAAACTGACACAATTATAGAAAAAAAA